TCAAAGGCACTCAAAGCATAACAAATCTGTGTAGTGTGAACAGTGTGTTATTATACAGTAGCTTAAGACAGGATTCCTCACTGAGGTGCAGTGTGAGAGCAATAATCTGAAGGATATATAAACTGATAGCGTGTTTATATTCAGCCCATATAGGGTTTGATTCGATGTCGTGGTTATCCTGTGCCGCTGGGATTGTCGATGAGAAAATCTATGCATTAATGACATTTCACGTGTTTGGCACAGGCTTGGATTATTTTATACTGATCATCAAAAAAAAAAAAAAAACTCCATTGTGCATTATGGAATAAGTGGTGTTTGTAACCTATATGCTGACAGTTAAAGGAGTCTGGAAAGCACATTTTCTGAAAGCACTGAAGGTAAAGTTATCCCGAGAAAGGAGCGTGCACAACAGTAAACATCTACAGTCTGTTTTAATATAAAACTAAAAAGAAACCAAGTGCCAGACTGGCAGTTTTGTCCCTTAGAGTTTAACACTTCTCCACACAAAATAAACTACTATAAAAGTCAAGTGTTTTAGAGACATATGTGTGTATCGTACATAAAGTGAGATTCAAAGACTTTTCAGAATATTATAGTACGAAATTGAGAATAAGATGTTAGAAAGTCACTACTTAGCAAAATAAGCAGTTTTTAGAACATGTTATTTGGGTGATGAGGCATAAGAGAATTATATATAAACAGATATTAAAGGCCTGAAGACAATAAGTATTTGGGGAGGTATATAGTCAGGCTATAATCTGAGTTTCATGTAATAGTCAGCACCCCATATAGGCTTATAGACGCCGTGTTTAAGTTAATATTCCTATGCACATTGTACAAAACTTATAAGCTGCCAGCTGCTTGGCCAAAGCTCTGCTCAAGGCCTAAATCTAAAATGGATCTCCCGCTCAATCCATGTGCTTAGCCCGAATGACTGACCATTTAAATTTAGTAGTAGCTACAACCTAAAGTTAACAAGTTAATGTAAAACATTTGCAAGGTAATGCATTAATTCATGCTTTGATCCGCTGTCATAACCCAGTTTAATAAGTTGCAGTCCATTGACTATTAATTTGTTTCCAAATGGTGTGAGCAGGAGGAACGGTTCCAAAATGCTTTACTTTGCCACTAATGCAAATCAAAGTTAGTCTATCTATTTAATATGCATGATTGGTTGGTGTAATGTAATTAAAATCACACTATTTAAATTATCCCAACAGCAAAAAAAATTAAACTTTAAATGTATTTTCAAAGTACACTTGCTTCTGCTGCTAAGAACAATTAATTTCAGAAACTAATTCATTTATTGGATTAAGCTTCACTGTTCTTTAAACACTGTAAGATTTATTGGGCCTTTATTTCACCCTAATGGGACACGAGTTTGAAAGAGCATATTTGGAGATTGAATGTGTTGCACAGTTAGTTTTTTAGGTTACCAACAGATTTAAGTTTGAACCCGCTGAGGAACATTCCCGATTAAGAACAACAGCCATATTCCCAACAGCTCAGAATAATTGCTTTGTAATAAGATGGGATAATAGCAGTAGTCACTTTTAGGAATTACACTTTCATCCTATATATTTGCTCACTTATTTACAACACTCTGACATGTGTCACACATCCTCTAACGTCTATATTTAGCTTTGGCTGACCACTACCTTTTGTCGATCACGCTGAAGAAGCCATAAATCTCTGCTCTGCACTCATGTTGCATTTGGAGCTTCTGATGATGTGTCAGTGAAGATGCGCAATTCTGTCTCCACAAACTATACTGCTTTTTGACATTTGGAGACGTGCTGAACAAAATGAAAACTGGTTTGTCAAGAGAGTGGAGAAACCTGAAAATCTCTTTTTCTCACACACACACACACACACACACACATAAGGGTCATTAGTTTTCTTTTCAAATCCTCATTCGTCACTGTAATTAACCGACGTTGATCAGCATGGACTCCCTTAAAATTGATTCCATGTGTGATAAGGAGATGTGTTAGGTTTTTTTTTTTCCTGTCACCGAGGCGTTATGGAAAAGATCCAAATGTGTAATTTGAAGTGCCTCTGTTTGAAGCCTTTGATCTCGCCTGTTTTGCAGAGCCTCGGTTCATCATTTGCGACGTGTCGCTGGTGCCCTGTGTATTGCATAAGGAACTACTGTTGAGCGATAGGCCGTGTATGTTTGCTTATGAGAATGTGAAATTGTGTCATCTGCATAATTACCGTCAAAGAGCTCTCTACAAAACAGCCCTCAAGTCACACGCGTATGATTGCCCTCTTTTTTTTT